CCGTGGAGCAGGGAGCCCGATGCGGGGCTCGATCCCAGGACCCTGGGATCATGACCTGAGCCGAAGGCAGACGCCTAACGACTGAGCCACCCAGGCGCCCCTTTTTTTAAGATTTTTTATTTTTAGGTAATCTCTACACTCAACCTGGGACTGGGACTCAAAACCCTGAGATCAAGAGTGGGGCACCCCAAAATAAACCTGTTTCTATACAATGCTTTATTTTTGTATAATTTGTCAGTGTGAATATCCTTAAAAATACCACTACTCATTTTTCTGGCTTTGTAATTCTCAGTATAGAGCTAATTTCATTCTGAGAATACTCTTAATATTGACTTGTAGTAAATCAACAACAAATAGGATGAACCAAAATTCTATTTAGGGTTTTTTGGGGGTGTGCTTCCCTATTTATAGCCATGTTATTCTCTCAGCAAGAAAAACGGTAGAGCAATGCTTCGTTATTTGACCAGTATTTTTTCATCTTTGCCAAAACCCCCCAAACTTTCCAGGATATTGAGCTCCCAAAATAGAAGGCCAAAAGCGGTATCAGGGACTCATTCTGGACTTTGGACCAACCTCAGAGGGCACAGAGGAAACGTGCTCACTTATTTTTCCTCCTTAATGATTTAAAATACTTAAAGTTCCCTTTTCCTTGTTGTTTTTACCGCAGGGATTGGGAAGACATGCAAATAACCACTTTGTGGAAAATCTCTACTGATGCCAACGATATGGTCCTCATTTTAGGCTTAAAAGGTTTTGGGTTTTCTTAAAGTTAATTCTGCACCGAGGAGAGCTTTCCTTGGCTGCTGGTGCACCTGAGGGCAAGTGAGGATTCTTTGCACGCCGAGCAGCATGTGTGCCTGCCTCCGTGTCTGTGCATCTGTGCGCGTTTCTGTGCCGGCGCGCGCGCGCGCGCGTGTGTAAAGCGGGTTTAGGGTGTGTGAAGGTGGTTCTGAGCCCATGGCTTACACGCTCACCGAAGAAGCGCGTCCAGCCACGCGGACGGGCGCAGGTTTCCCCAGTCTGGGCTGGGGTGGGGGATGATCCGCCAGGGCTTGGGGCTCCAAACCCCCCGCGGGACGCAGCACCGTGGCTGCGGGGGGCGACGGGGGTGCCCGCATAGTCCGCGTCCATCCAGGATCCAGAGCACATGCTCGGGGGTGGGTTACGTTTTCTCCCCCTCCCTCCCCCGAGGCGGGCTTGGAGCGGAGATCTCGGGAGGGGTCGCGAGAGCGGAGGGGGTCCCCGAGGCCGCTGGGTGGGGGAGGGTACGATGTGGGGGCGGCGCCTCCGACCATCCATTCGCTGCGGAGCCGGCCGGCGTCTGTCCGGCCTCGCCGGGTTTCAGGGACCGGGAACCCACACCGGGGGCGGCGCGCGCATCACGGGCGCCTAGACGCCCAGGTACATGCGGCCCCTTCTTCAAGTGGCACGGGGACGGTTGGGTACGGCGGTTGCGGCCCCC